TATCAGGGGCATCAATTACTCCTTGAAATTTGTCTTCCCTTCCAGAGCATCACTCTGCTTTCCTTTATCTTCCACACCACTCCATTCTCTAGTTCTTTAACTGACTCCTTGTTTGTACCAAGCATGAAATGTTAGTGTTCCCCGGGTCCTGACTTTTGTCTCATTTTCTATACACGCTCAGTTCTCCTGAGTCACTTTCATTCATCACTTGAACTTCATTATGTATATGTCAACGACTCCTTAACCTAAGCTCTATATCGAACTTTTGGTATCATGGGCAGCTCTTTAGAATATCTAGAGACAGTTTTTTATGAGTATACAAAGAAGGAAGTCTGTCAAGGTGACTTGTATCACTTGAAAATGGCATTATTAAAGAGCAAATAGTATCTTTTGGTAGTGCCTGTCTATATCTATTGTCAGTGTTTACCTTGTAAACTGTTTGTTTTTTTAAATTTACTTTGGGGTGATGGTTTTGTCTGTGAATCTGGATAAGCAGCACTTAAAACAAATTGGCTTGATGTGTTCATTATGTGTTTTTTTGCATCCAATTCCATTATTTGCAACAACATGGATGAAACTGGAGGATCTTATGCTAAGGGAAATAAACCAGCATGGGAAGATAAATACTGCACAATCTTACTTATAATGTGGAATGTAAAAATGTGGAATTCGTATCAGAGGCTGGAGAAGGGGGACAGAGAAAGCGGTGACCTTGATCAAAGGGAGCAAAGTTTCATTTAGACAAGAGGAAAACACCTTAGTGATTCTAGTGACACAATGGTAAACATAATAAGTAATAGCGTGTGTTTCAAAATTGCTAAAAGAGTAGATTTTTAATGTTTGCACCACCCCCCAAAAAGTTAGGTGATGGGTTTACTAATTAATCTGATGTAACCATTCCATGTTGTAAACACCAAAACATTACATTGGGCCCTATTAATATATACAATTATTATTTGTCAACTAAAAATAAAATTTTTATAAAAAGCTATCAGAGGAAATCAGTCTCTGACTGGGGGTCGGCGAGGGCTAAAGAAAGAAAGACAAGAGACTTGGGTAACTTCCTCGCATAAGGGAGGCCAGGAGGCCAGTGCCTCAGAGCGGGCAAAGACCAGAGCTCTCTGAGCTGGCTGCTGGCTGTCGGTGCACACAGCAATCCGAGGGAGCGTCGGGTGACTTGGGGGCGGCGGATCTCATGTCTGATCCGGTGCCCAGCACTTCTCGTGTGATGAGGGCGGAGAGGAGAGTGTCCCCACCTCAGTAGGCGGGAAGAGCTGGGGTGATGAAGACTTCTCCCTCCCCAGGGGAGATCTTCCCCTTCTGTGTCACTACTGGGTTCTCAGGGAACCAGGACGTCTTCAGCTGGTGTCATCTTGCCACAGAGCACCACAGCCCCACAGGACCACTGAGGCCTCAGCTGTGACCGGAGGCAAACGGAGTTGTTTCCGCAGGCCGCAGCCGGCTCTCGGACAAGGCAGCATTGGACCTTAGACAGCTCTAGTCATACTTTAATTATGAAATGATTTTACCCCAAAGTCTATGTAGAAGTGCCCCAGCAAGAACCTTTATTCTCAGGCGTCCTGCTGGAGATGTACAGTCTACACCAAGAGTCCATGGATCTGAGCTGATTACTTTCCCACTTGCAGCCCCATCTCAGCAGAACACCCGTCTCTTTCAGTCGAGCCACTACAACAAGGTGGTTCTCCGGACAGCCCTCCTTCACTGACCCTAGTGCATTCATGTACCGAGTTCTCAGTGTCCGGAGTCTTCTACTGGACACGCAACAAGCTCCTCCCCGCCGTACCACTGCCTTTGTCCAGATACTAATCAGCTTTCATCTGGACTTAGCCTCTTAACTGCTTTCTTAGCTCATCCTGTTTCAACTGCACCCTATTTTCCCCACTTACAGCAGGAAAACAACGCTTTCATACATATTTTGTCAATCTTCCAGATAAAATTTTGATTCAATGGCTCCTCATAGCCACTAGAGTTTACATTTTTTTACTGCAACATTCATGACCCTGTCTTTCATGAGGCTTCATTCTGTGTGTGTGTGGAGGACGGTGGTAATGAGGAAGGAACCCAGGGCCTTGCACATGCTAGCAAGTGCTCTACCACTGGGCTACAGTCCCCAATCCTTTTTAAATTTCATTTGAGACAGAGTCTCACTAAATTTCCCAGGCTAACTTTGAACCTGAGATTTTCCTGCCTCAGTGTCCTGCATACCTGGAACTACAGCCATACACCAGCGCACCTGGCAGGACTTCATTCTTTGACCATAACACTTTGGATTTTAGGAATATTGAGCCACTTATAGGTTCCTTTTGTTTCTTTTTGGATGCTGGGGATCAAGCCCAGGGACTTCTTCATGGTAAGTGTGTCTCTGACGCCGATCTATACGCCCAACCCTGGCCCTGGTAGCTTTCCTATCTTCCTCCTCTGCGTGAGCTGGACCCTGGGGTTTCACCTGCACACACACAACTCCTCCTGATGTCTTCCTGGATGCCCTAGGAAAAGCTAGTCATCCCTCTGTCCTGCTCCTTTAGCACCTTTGGGAAACACCATTGTTACACCACAGTAAAATCACTGGACGACAAGAAAAGACTCAGATTTTAGTTGACTTACATTCCTAGCACCTAGCAGGGAATGTTGGGTAAAGGTGATTACTTCAGCTTTTTTTTTTTTTCCCAACTACTTTAACGTCTTTTTAAGTAAAGGAAACTTTTCTTCAAATAAAGGTTTTTACAAAAGCCTACTATGCAAAATGACAAAACCAGGCTCTCTCCAGTTAGCCCCCTTCTGTGGCTGCTCAGGTGCCGGTGCCCTTGCAGGGCACAGTGTGGAAACCCCTGGTGTAAGGCTGGCCTGGGGTGACCTGACAGTAGGTCTGCCAGAAAGTTGTCACCTCAGCCCCAGAGAGGATCCACGCACTGACACCTCGACGTGAGCACACCCTACCGGAAGGAAGCCTCGCGGTTGCACAGCCATGTGTATGCAGCGGCAGAGCACGCAAAGCTGGGACAGAAAACTGGAGCAGAGTGGCGACTCAAGGCTCTGGTTTCTTTTTGAGATGATGAAACTGCTCTGGAATTAGCAAGTGGTGGTTGCCTAATCTTATCAAGATGCTAGAAACTACTGAATTGCACGCTTAAAGGGGTGAATTTGACATGATTTCTATCTGAATTTTAAAAAAGAATTGCATGGGGAGGGGAGGAGGGGGCAAAGGGAGGGCAGGGATAAGGGGAAAAAATGAGAACCAAGACCTGTCATGTAAAGTTACAAGATCCCAATGATGAATGTAACTACTGTACACCTAAAATGTACCAATAAACTCCACGAGGAAAAAAAGATATTAAAAAAAAGAATTGCAATGGCATAATATTCTGTTCCATGGAATTGATTTTAAAAAATAAATTGTATCGCTTCTCAGCCTTTTGGCTAAGATCAAGTGTAAAAAATAAATTGTTATCAAAATAGGCTAGTCATGAGTTTATTTCTATGATGGTAATTTCTTTTTCGAGGTAAGGTCTCCGTATGTAGGTCAGGCTGGCTTTAATTTTTTTTTTTTTTTTTTTTTTTTTTTTTTTTTGGTACCGGGTCCTGAACTTGGGACCTTGCACTTCGAGGTAGGCACAGCACCACTGAGCTCAATCCCCAACCTGAGGTCAGGCTGGCTTTATTTATTTATTATTTTTGGTTTTTTGAGACAGGGTCTCACTATGTAGTTGATTCTGACCTGGAACTCACTATGTAGCCCAGGCTGGTCTCGAACTCACAGCGATCCTCCTGCCTCAACCTCCTGAGTGCTGGGATTACAGGCATGGGCCACCACGCCCGGCCCTTCTTGGCTTTAAACTCACCTGTAGCCCAGCCTGGCTAATTAGGAAGAAGTGTGATGGATATTTCCTGTGACATGAGTAAGTCTGCTGGGAGCAATAAATAACAGTACACTAGGCCTGGGCACTAGAGTGACTTTATATCCCTGTCCAAACTACCCAGTTACCCCACTGAGTCCCCTAAGCCACAGCTGATCCTTTACGCCAACCTTCAGTGGAAGTCTCTTCACTTTGGCATTGCCCTTTTAGAGTGCAGTGTTGACCGAGTTTCCGCTGCTGGGGACTTGATGATCCCTGAGGAATGGACCTCAGTTCTGAGAGCTCAGCAAGGAAAGAGGCCTTAGGGGAAAGGTGGGGTACTGGGTTGGGGTAACAGGGCAGAGCCTTCAGCAAAGGGGTGCAGCTTGAGGGGTTAGGTGAGTTCGAAGAAAGAACACGGGATACAAATCCAGGCTCGCCACATACAGCAAGTGGGTTAAGGTGAGCAGAATCGGGTGACTCCTGGCAGAGAAGCACTGTCCCTGGGAGGACCAGGAAGGAGGGAGCCAAGAGTGGGTCTGCTGGGGTCTGGGCAGTGAGCTGCAACTCAGTCTCACCTTCACTCAGGGCTTCCGTGTAGGTGAACACTCTTCAGAGCCATCTTGAAAACAGCGGTTTCGAGCCAGAATCTTACCTCCTCCCCTGCCCCGTGCTGGGGATTAAACCTAGGGCCTCTGGGGCTGAGGATTTAGCTCAGAGGTTCCACCACCTGCCTCACAAGCACAAGCTCCTGAGTTCAATCTCGGGTACCAAAACAAAACAAAAAATCCTAGGGCCTCTGCACTGAACTGCAATTCTGACACAGTCTTGCTAAATTGACCGATCTGAGATCAGACTCATGATCCTTCAGCCTCCCGCAGTGCTGGGACTACAGGTGTGCACGAGTGTGACCACACTTTTGATAAATTACGAAGAAAAGCCCAGGATTCTTATACCTCTCTTCCTCATCTTCCCACTTCTCCCAGAGTTATGCCATCAGAGAGCCTGAAAGGGGGTTTGAACACACCGGCCAGAATCAGGAGTCAAACCACAGCTGCAGACGCCATGTGCAGACCACCTTTAGCCATGTGCTTTTATTAAGCCCTTTGGAGGTGCTGTAGGCGATTCCACACCCCACCGGGGGGACAGGGGCTCAGCAGCTGCTGCAGTCACTGGGGTAGCTGTCCCAGTGCAGACCGATGGCGTCGATGACGGAGCCGGACCGGCCACTGATGAACCGTAGTACAGTGTTTGGGTACAAGGGGAGGGCATTGAAGCTCGTGCCAGTGTCCTTCCCGAAAGGCAGGTAGCGGCCCTTGTCTGTCACAAAGACCAGCTTCCTCAGGTAGGACTTGTATTTGCCAGACACCTGGATCACGGACTCCCCAGGGTGCAAAAAGATCTCCTCCAGGTCTCCCGAATTGCCACCCACGTAGTCGCTCCACACTTTTCCATAACGCACCTGCAGCCTGGCACGAGCGAGGAAGGAAGGAAGGGAGACGCGGAATTGGGTTAGAATTCGTGACCTCTTGGCTGTCAACTTGGTGACAGAGATGACAGGTCCCCTGCTGTTCTCACAGAGCGCAAAGACTGGGTGAGCCCCAGAAAATCATACAGGGAACTTGAACTCACTTTGCCAACAAACAACCTCATAAAGGGAAGAAGTAGCCCAGAGTCACCCAGATGGCAAAGGTCAGGCCTTGAATTTGGAGTTCAGGGTCCCACTGTGCCCTGGCCCCAGTTGAACTAAGCCAAAGGATTTTCACACATCGGAAAGTCTTCCACGTGGGAGAGGGATGTGACCTGTTCCCATGGCCTTATGGTGCAGAACCTGGGTCAGGAGGAGACGCGTTTCAGTTTTGCGTATGGTAGGATCTTCAATTTTCCAACTGAACTGAGTGGGAGTTTATCAGGAAACACTGAGCAGAGCCAGAGGTGCCTGCCTGCCAGGGATGCTGCACAGGAGCCTTTGCCTTGCGGCTGGCCTGACGCCCACTCCACGGGGTCATGGTGACGCAGCTTGCCAAGTCCCACACGCCAGTGGACGTAGAGCTGTAACAGCGCCTCTAACAACTTCTCACCATATCACTTTAGACCTATGACTTGTTGACTGAAAAGAGTGCAATTCAAAGTAAACGAGAACTTCCCGGTTTAGTAAGACCCTAGACGGGTCCCAAACCACAGAAACGGGGAAGAATCTCACCCCACGATGTACAGTCTGTTGACTCTGACCCGGAGAGCGGTGATGGGGCCTTCCAGCTGGTAGCCAGAATGGGAGAATCGCTTTCCTCCACCACCTCCATACTCTCCATTGTAAGAGGAGGACCTCGCCTGGACTGAAGGGGAGACGGCAGGGAGAAAGCCCATGGGAGCTCAGCGGCGCCCACACCCACGGCTTCCCCACACCTCAGCTGCCCACCCAAGCCTGCCTCCCAAGCCAGCAGCAGCGCAGAGGCTGCCTTCCCACACACCCGTTACCAGGCTCCAGCCTCGACTTACTAGCCTTGGCCGAGGTGGAGGCACAAAGAAGGCCTAGGAGAACAACGGTCAGCATCCTGGTGCTGGAATGGGAAGGGAGGAGAAATGAGGGCTTACTCTTTTCCCTCTGGACTTCTTTCTCACGTCCGGTTTAGACTCCAGCTTCTCCTTCCTTCAGCTCATGCCCACAACCCAGTCGTGAGTTTAGAGAAGCCATCTGTGCTCTTGCTCCTTTTGATGTCCCTAATCCATCTGGCTCCGCCCAGTCTGTCTGTACCCAACTTTCCCCTTCCCTACCCAATAGAAAGACCGGTCCTAACTGTCTCAATTAAGCTGGAAAGGAGTTTTCCACGGGGAGGCGGAGGACATCACCGAAGCACAGAGAAGGCTGCGTTCACCAAGCCAGGGATCTGAGCCAAAGCTAGACAGAGTCAGCGAGTGCTGGACTGGCTCGACTTGTGGGGCCTTGGGACACTGTGAAACACCTTGGTCTCAGATCAGAAAGGAACACTTTGGAGGTGCCTCTGTGTCACCTTACAAAGGTGGAGACAGAAGAGACAGCTGACACCAATGTCCAGGTCGTTCTGGTGGATCCAAGATAGACCAAGAAGCTGCAGGAGGAGTTGGGATGAGCTTAAGATACTGGATCCCAGCTTCTGGCCCATTCGTCCTCACCCCTACACTTACCCAAACCTGGCCATCCCGTCCCCTGAGGGCCCAGGTGCCCCATTCTTTCAGCTGAAATCAGACACCTTTGTGCCTAAGACTGTTCAGATACCTGCTTCTCACTGCAGGCATCCTCTCTGCCAGCTCATTTGAACAGCCCTAACTCGGACCCATACCTGCTCGTCACCCCTTACCTGGCAGGTTCAGGTGTGAGTAACCCCGGAAACTGCGGGGCTTTTATAGCAGGTTCAAGCTCTCCCCTGCCTTCATCGTGCGAACCATACCTCTTGTGCAAACATGGCCGGCCGCGGGAGCGGGTGTCAGCAGGGGCTGGTACCTCTCATCCTGCCCCTCCCGCAAGGTCACAGGTGGTAAGGTGGGGCCTACTCCCAGATGCCACTCAGGAGGGGCAGATAAACTGAGAGCTAGAAACTTTGGGTGAACGAGGCAGGGAGTCCCCTCAGGGTGCAGTCTGAGGCCTTGGGGAAGGTTCTCCCTCCCCTAACTGCTCTACAGGCGCTTTCACCTGAACTGCCAGCTGCCAGGATAAACAGCGCCCACTCCAGGCACTTGAAATGCACATTCTCCCAGAGAGGGAACAAAGTCCTAATACCCCTTCCTGAGCAGTGCATGTTATGCTGACAAATTTCCTCTCTCCCTTTCGTGATATTTTATTATGACAAAAATGCAAATATACAGTAACTTGAAGAACTGTGTAGTGGAAACCCATGTGACCACCATATAAAATCTACCATGATCAGTGCCTGGCTATAGCGGCCTCCACCACACAGCTGTGGTCTGCAAGGCCCTTTTCAAATATTTCCTGAGGAGGGTGGTTTGTGCCACGCCCTCTCAGAAGCAGTCAGTCCCCTGGGGAAGTGAGGGTGCAGAGGTCTTTTCGTGGGTAGTATTGGACTTGGGACCTGGACTCCTGGGCACCCAGCGATGGGCCACTCAGGACAATGGTTCCTTTTGGGGGTCTGAAACCCTGTGCTGTCATAGTGTAAGACTTGAATAAGCTAAATTGACTCCATGCTAACAGGCCAAACTGTGCTTCTTCATATGCTAATTGCTAACTTGGCTAACAGCCCGCCCAGGGGCAAATGGTTTGACAAAAGGTGACCATAGAACATTTCCTGCGTAAGATGAGCAATGTGTTTGGAATCTTGTCCTCTGGTAGTTCTGTGAATGCCCTGACTTCTTTGTTTAGAAAAACCCTATAAAAAGGACCTCAGCCCCTGAGCAGTTGCCTCTCTGAACTACCTGGCTCCAGGAGTGCTGTCTGGCCAGAGTAATAAAGGTCTATTTACCATCTAGCCTGGTGTGTTCCCTCCTGGGTTTCTCGATTCTCCCTCGAGCTCCCGGAGGCTCGCTGGGTGTTAGGACCCAGCATTGTGGAGGCCTTTTCGGCTGTTCACACTCCGTGGAGTGGAAGTGAGACTTTAAGTCTTACAATAGATTTCTGCTTTTTTTAAGCCTTTCTCATCCAGGACTGACCTTCTTGACCTCAGATCCTTAGAGGGGAACCTCAGTCCTCGCACCTGACCCCTTCAGCACAGCCTTCCTGGCTGCTGGCTCAGCAGCGCTGGCCTTGGACAGGAGGGTGGGGCCGGGGAGGGAGTAGGTAGAGGGCAGAGCACCTCCACCCCTGCCCACAGGCTCACCACCTGGGGCTGAGGGTTGGCCTCAGATAGCAAAGCCAGTCCTGCCCTGTGGAGCGGGAAGAGGAGCAGTGACAGCAGTGACACCTGGACACCCACCGGTGGTTCCCACATTGCCCCTCTCCTCCCTGCTTTGCTTCTTCCAAGTTCAAGATGAACACATCCGGTGATGTAACTTCCACGACACATCGAGGACCCTCAGGGCCCAGGCACCATGTACACGCCAGCCTCACCTGGCCTGTGGAGTCCACAGTCTCCTCGCTGCCTGGAGCCTGGCCCTTGGGTGCCTATACCAGACGGGGAAGGCCACTGTCCAGCCACTGCAGTGCCTCTGTGTTCCTGAGGATGTGACTGAGGAGCTAGAAGAGAGGGAGCAGGCAGTGGACATCAGGCTTCCGCCTCAGCTCCTGTTGTGTTGGTCTGCTTCCTATTTAGCCCATACACCAGGCAGGGCCTATCTGCCCCCAGATCTAGATGAGTTTGGCTTAAACCTCAGGTCGTCCCTATCCTACAGGTGACAAGGGCCTAATCCAAAGTTTCCACTGCTGCAAGGCAACTGACAGCTGACATTCCTCACTGTCTCTGCCCCTGGGTAAAAGGCCTCACTCAGGACACCCCAAGAGAGAGCTAGAGAGAGCGCCTGGGGCAGCCGGGAAGAGCCAGTTCAGTCCACTTGACAAGGGACTCAGTTCCTGCACCGTGTGGCCAGAAGCCGTGAGGCCTGGGACACAGATAGTAAAGCAGAGTGTGAGCGTGGAGGGAGGTAGGAGGCCTCTGCCCAGGTAACACCTAGGGAGAGACCAGACTGAAGTAATGGAGGAAACAATTTCCAAAGCCTTGAGCCGGAAGTTGTTTGGTGAACTTGGAAATAGCAAGGGAGGCAGGACGGTGGGCGGTTAGGGAGAAGCCAGCAGCAGATGGGGCAGGGCCTGAGTGGAGGCCATGGCAAGAGTGGGATGAACCTTCTCTCATGTCGCGGGCTCTCTCTCTTCTCCTCTGGAATGGCCTTGAAAGCTATCCCTACCCTGGGGTAAAGCAGGGCTGCCTTCCCAGAGTCTTGATACCAATTTAAACCCCACAGTGAGGATCTGCCTCTTCTTCGCCCTGTCAAAAGACAAAATTACAAGTATAGTTTAAAGATCTTAACTGGCTCTTATTTGCAATTCTAGAATTAGGCAGCATGTCATTCCATAAAACAAGATAAGAGTTCCAATGAGCTGAGCCATAGATAATGTCTGTTTGTTTTTGGTACCAGGGATGGATCTCAGGACTGTGGGGCCTAAATTACAAGCCCTTGCTAAATGGCAAAGGGCCTAGGAGACAGTGTCCTGAACCCCTCCCATTGTAGCCACAGCCCCGACCTTTGTTCTTGCCCTGGCCTAAGAATGTGGATCACTCTTGTATTGTTTGGAGTCCGGATCTGAATCTACTTGTAAATTAGAGACTCCAGACATAGAGCCCAAGCTAATTGACAAACTGTGTGCTCATCCGGAGTGTCTTGGTGACCTTTGAGACATCCTATAGGTGGTACCTGTTACTCATCAATATGTGACTGTTGAACATGTGACTACTGACCACCAGCTCAAGTCAGCAGACCTTTGTCCCCTGTCTGTGAGCCCAAAATGTTAACCCCCTCTTTTACTCCCTATAAGAGGACCTCGGCCCCTGAGCTAGGTGCCTCTCTGAGCCAGCCACTTGGTTCTGAGAGTGCCGTCTGGCCAGACTAATAAAGGTCTCTTTACCATCTAGCCTGGTGTGTTCCTTCCTGGGTTTCTCGTTCTCCGTTGAGCTCCCGGAGCCTCGCTGGGTGTTGGGCCCAGCATTGTGGAGGCCTTTTGGGCTGTTCACGCTCCGTGGAGTGGAAGTGAGACTTTAGGTCTTACAAGGACCTTGAGCTTTCAAAGCCAGCATGGTGCCACTGAGCTACATTCTGGGCCCCAGAGAGATTGTTTTCATTTTATCTATTATATTTTAGTAGATTGTTTTTAAAGACAGAAAAGGAAAAGCAGAAACAGAAAAAAAGTGGATTGGTCATTTTGTCCCCAGGAGGGGACTGAGGAGGTCCCCAAGGAGGAGAGGGAGGGCCTCACCTCACTCCTTCATGCAGAGGTAGGAGATTCCCTGACGACTGCCTCAGACAGAGAATTTCAGGAGAAGACTGCAGCACAGTGTAGAGTTAGATGGTAAGAAGGGTAAAGTGGGAGAAGATTCGGGCCGAATTAGAGGGGCTCACTTTGATGCAGGGGTGCCGACTGCCCCCGACCCCAAGCACAGAGCCAACTTCTAAGGATTGGCTGAGATAGCCAGGGTCAGCTGATTATTAGCTCAACTCTGTTTTCCCTCGCTCTGGAGAAATCCTCTCTGCTTGGGGGCCATTTGCTTCCTGTGATTGTCCTCCTGGGCTGCTTCCTGTTGGGGTAACTGCTCCTGCTGGGGAACATTGTCCTGGGTGGTCCCGAGGCTCTGCTTTCCAGGAGTCCAAGGCTACTGTAGGTTTGAAGACTTCTAGCCATCGCCCCAGGGTTGTGTAGAGCTGAGCACCGACATTGGCAATTGAGGCTTCCTAAAAATTCCTTTAGTTGCTCTTAGCTTGCTCAGTGGTCTCAGTCTTAAGGAAGCTGAGACAGATTAGGCCAATTTAGGGCTAACAAACCTGGCAATACAGGCAGTCCCTGGGCAGTTAGCAAGCCTACATGCAGAATTGCACAGGAATCCATCCCAGATTTTAAGGTAATAAGGGAGGCAAAAAATTGAATTTCCTTTTCTTTCTACCTCAATTTCAAAGTTACTGTTTTCAATAAAGATTAAAACAGAGGGGACTTCATTATTTTGCCCACTAAAACTAGTCTGTATGGGAATTTAGCTGTCCCTTTCTCCTGATTTCTCAGAAGTTCAGATAAATATTTAACTTTGGCTTGGTGATCTGGAACTGTGGCGAGAGTGACTCTGTCCATTAGCTTTTTTTTTTTTTTTTTTGGTGGTGGCAGGGATAGAACTTAGGTCCTTGTGCTTGCGAGGCAGACAGGGGCACCACTGAGCTAAATTCCCAGCCCAACTTTGTCTTGGTTTAGTCTCCTGGACCTGGTGCAGGAGCTCAGTCCAAACTAACAGCCTACAAATTTTATTTAACAACCCCCACCAAGGATGTTGTGAATTTATTTCTAAACAATGGAAACGAGCCACTAATGTTGCTCAGTCACACTGAAACTGCCTGGCAAACGCAAGGTCCTGAGTTCAATCTCTGGTACCAAAACAAAGACAAAACAAGAAAAAATAGCTCTGTATTCTGCTTAGGAAAAAAACAAAATGAAACAAAACTCTGCTTCCTTGTTTGCATATTGGACCTCCCTGCAAGATTTCATTGGAACAAAAAGTTACTCAAAGCAATTTTTTCTGGCTTTTTTTGTGGTGGTGGGGGCCAGGTCTTCTATATAGTTCAGGCTGGCCTTGAACTCACTATGCAGCCCAGGCTGGCCTTGAACTTGCAGTGATCCTCCTACCTCAGCTTCTCAAGTGCTGGGATTATAGGTACACACCACCTTGCCCCGTACTTCCCAAATTAATTTGAGCACTGCCTTTCTGTACATTCTTAACTGTTTCAATGAGTAAAAGTCAAGTCTAGCAAGCACAAATGGCTTCACCAAGCTTTCTAGGGGGCCCTCCGCCCTGCTGGCCCGTCTCCTCTATTTCCCGGTACAGCCCCAACAGTAGCCTCCTATTCTACCCTAAAATGTTCCCTCCTCTGCCACCTGGCAGCCTCCAATTATCCAGAGGACCTCAGCCCTACCTGGCGCCAACCTTGTCTCACAAAGGCCTCAGCGACTCCCCCAGCCCCTCCACTCCAAACAGAACTTGTCAT